TGTTTTCAAAATTGCATCTAAACAGACTTCCACCTTATGAAGACCCATCCTTATAATATCCAAAGTTTCTAGATGCTCTCTGCCCCACAGCTGGTAATCAAGTGAACTATCATAAGTAAGTGTTGATTGTTTTGCCCACGGCAGCATCCTCCTGAGGTTCTGGAGGAGGGAATTTCCACAGGCCTCTCCCTCTCTCAGGTACAAGCTCATGATTCCTACCATACCTCAGTCCCTGTGAGTGTCTGCATGATCCAGTGCAGTAATCCTCAAATTTTAAATATGCAGTAGAACCCCTTGGGGATCTTATCAAAAATGCAGATTCTGACTCAGTAGGTCTGCAATGGGGGCTGAGTTTCTGCATTTCCAGCAGTTTCTTGTTGATGTTCATAGTGCTGGTCTGTAGACCACATTTTGAGTTACAAGGGTTTAGATTACTGATGCCAATAATGACCCAGGCTAGTAGCCTGTTTCTGTTAATAAAGTTTTACTGGTACACAACCACGTCCATTTGCCTACGTATTGTCTAGGGCTGCTTCCATGCTGTAACCACAGAACTGAGTACCTGTGACAGGGACCTTTTGGCTTGCAAAGCCTAAAATACTGTATTTGTTATCTGGCTCTTTAGGAAAATATTTGATAACAAATAATTTAACCTAATTGTGGATTCTTGAGTTTCCTCATAGTTTCTTTTGTTGACAAGTATTTATTTGATAGGTGTCAACAGCAACATTTTACTTATAGGCAATAGAAGAGCTACACATATTAAACAATGTAGGCTCAGAAAAGAAAATGATCAGATAAGACTTTCTGCTTAATTGATATTAACAGATGATAAAACATCACAAATACAATTGAGCTCGCTTTTAGAATACTAATGTGCATTATGGCTTAAACTGCCTATGTGTAATAGCAATAACAAATTTCCTGAGGGTAAAGATTGGAGAAAAGTGTCTAGTAGGAATTACGTAGCTCACAGAGCTCAAGACTGGAGCATCTGGCATTTTTACACTTTATCCAATTCACCTTCAAAGTATCCCTTTCAGATACATCAAATAGAAATGCTACTTCTTATTTTCTCAAGGAAAGGTGAGTGGAAACAAAGAGAGTTAAGTAAATATTCCAAACTCCTAATTAAAGTTAACACAGTTCAGGAAAATCCAACTTGTCAAAATTACTAATATGAACCAAGAGGTTAAGCTATTTTCCAAATCTACTGTTGTACAAATCACGAAATTCTGAGCAGAAAACTTTAAAGGGTAACAAAAGAGACTTTCCAATATTGACATTACTGATCTAATTCAGTGGAATGTGTATGTGACTATTATTTTCCTCCAATTTACTAGGTGGACAGAAATACAAATATCTGATCAGTGTCATATAGAAAGTTTATGGCATGTGTAGCTCTTATTTGTCCTAAAGATCTTAGTTATTCTCAATGATCTGTTTGATTATTTTCCAGAAATGTGATTCAGAGGGAAGGACACCATCTGAAAATAAGTAAGTACCTTACCCTGACTGTGGGTGAACTGCAACCCCTTATATGAAAAAACAAAACAAAACAAAACACTTTGCTGCTTTTCACTCGTTCATTCTGCAAAAATTTATCTATCTATTTTAAAATCTTTTTTTGGGGGGGCTGGCCAATATGCACAAATATTTACTGAGCACCTACTCTTCTAGGTGCTTATGATCATCAGTGAATAAAACAGCCTAAGATAGCCTCAGCATTCTACATTCCTGCCTGGGAAATAAAACATAAATAGTAAACATAATAAACAGGTAAATTATATGGTATGTTATAGGATGATACATGCTTTAAAAATACAAAAAGTAGAACAGGATAAGGGGATTTGGGAGAGCTGGGTCTGGTGCATGGGCAGCCTGATAAAATTTTATCATTTATGTTTAAATGGAAATCTTGTGTATATTTACCTTGCATAACGTAGGTTACATCTAAGATTCTTTAAAATATCAAGGTTAAATGATATAATTTTTAAAAGTTCAAGAAATTCTACCTCTTGTTCTGTGATATTTTAGAGGTGATTAACTTGAGAAATAACTAGTATTGTGTGGTTAGTTACTCAATAAACTAGTGAACCAATCAATCAAGATCTTAGAGGACTTTAGTGGTGAGTAGAAAATCTGTGATTTGGTTTTTGAGTGATTTAAAATCTACTGTAATGACACTATCCAAGATTTCATACTAAATGTAAATATACATAATTTGTATTGTTTCAGAACAGAAGTGCCAAAAAATGTATTTATATGCTAATATTTGTGCAATAAATATATTTATACCATTTATCAGAATGGATAAATACTTATGTGTTCCCAAGGTACACTTTAAGATCTGATTTTAGAAATATTGCTATATAGTTTTTCTGCATAGTCTATTATTACAAGGAAGCCCATACATAATAGAATTGTGCCCCAAGTTTAAGATATTAAAAAAAAAAGGTGACCACATGGGAAATAGTCTAAAATAATATTAATGAACCTAGTGAAAGTCAAATTGCTTTACCAGTATAATAACTAGTAACATGATTCACAGGTGGATGACAATGATTAAACAGAAATGCCCTAAGGCCACTCCTGAACAGAGGGTTAGTGTCATTGCAATACACACACGTGGGGATCAAATTTATGTTTCAAATAAAAACAGGAATATATTTTTTCTCAAAGCCACTTACAACCCCATGACCACCATCCATCTAGATAGCTGATGTGGCTAGAAAAAGGCAGTTGGTATAGAGATTGAAATTTAGAGCATGCCTAGGATAGGATGGCAAAGTTCTACAAACACCATCAGAATTGACAGAATATATTTAAGGAAAGTAGTAATTTCCAAAGAAACCAGGCAATAGAGATTCAATTTCCCCACACTTTAAGTAAATATGTTCATAAACATTAAAATATACTATTGATCATCTCATCATAGATCAGATTTAATGAGATAGGAATTATGTAGGACACATAGAAGAACTAAACTTGAACAGTTCTCTTAATTAAGAATCCTTAAAAATTTTTTTTTCACAATCCCCATGAAGATTAATGCCATCACGGACCCATCTTTTTTATATATATGCCTTTTTCTAGAGTACATTCTATATGTGTCTTTTTCTAGAGTACATTCTATATGTGTCTTTTTCTAGAGTAAATTCTTCAGGCTCTGGATTGACAATGCTAAGGTAAGAAGTCTACTGCCTTTGGCTAATTTCAATTATTTTTGTACTTTTTCTTTCTTTAAGTGATCAAATATTTTTGTGAGAGTCACAGAATATTTTAATAGTTTTCTCTTCCTAAACATAAGATTGACTGTCAAGTGGCTTACTGAAGCTCTCATGCATTTAATTAACAGATCAGAGTAAAAGTGAGAATATATGAAAGTCATCTGGAAGCTCATAGGTAATGTTAAAAACAAATGATCATTTTCGTGAATCACTATGCGTAAGTTAAAACGTGAGCAAACACTTACATGCTGTATTCCATGAGAAACACATTTTTAAAGTTATCTTCAATTTTACATTTTAATGACTAATTAAGGATCTTCTAGATTGTCACCTCAAAATAAGAAAGATATTTACATTTTTCTTTTATCTTGGTACCTAATTTATAATACCTGTTATTTGATGTAGAGAATAAAATACTCAGTTTCTCTTAGAGATATTTCTCAAAGTATACCTATTATAAACACTAAGCTCCCTTTTCTTTTATAGTTATTACTCCAAGTGCATGGAATAATTTTCAACTTAGCAGTGCACATAGGTTAACTTGAAAAATACTTATAGCTAGAGCTTGTGGAGTCTCTGGGGTTTACATCACTAGAATTTGATAAAATAGAAACTATGAGATAAGGTAAAAAAAGGAAAAGACAAGGTTTTTACAAATTTTCTTTTTAGAGAGAGGCTTTAGAGATTCCAATAAATATGTCACCATGATACCTTGATGGTTTATACATGTGAGATGGTTCTATTAGTTTGCATTGTTTTCTGAACCATATAATAAAACTGGAGCAGCATTGTTCCAACAGAAGTTATTTCAGGAAGGTTGGAGGGTAAGTGCTGTGTACCTTGCTCCTAGCAATTTAACACACCCATCCTTGTCACCTCTATCAAGAAGGCAGGGGATCATCAGCTAGTGTTTGCAAATAGGTGACATCTATGATTCTGGCTGACCCACTGTAAACTGATCTAATCCATTATGAAAAGACAGATGTAGTAAGGTAAAAGAACAATGAAGAACTGTTGCTTAATGCTGTCTATATTAAGATTAAAAACTAAAGAGTTCAGTATACTCTCTGGTCAAAGATGGCCACTTCACAAACTTTTGGAAACTCAATTATTATCATTGCATCTTAGCTTTTTTTGGGGGGGGAGTTAAGAAAAAAAAAGTGGAAACGGTTTCCTAGGAGTATATACATTTTTCTGTTTTGTTTGTTGGTTGGTTTGTTTTTTTTGGGGTGGGGGTGCAATCTAAACTCAATGGAGAATAAACAGATGTTTGAGTTTTCACCAATGACTATTTTTCATCTTCTCTTCCACTTAATGACATTTTGGGCACATTGCAAAGCTTACTAATTTGGTTGTTTTAAAGTCCGTTTGGTTTAAAACTTTAATCTCAAATTGAATTAAAATCTTATCTCCTCCTCGCTCCCTTTCTGTATACAGATTTGTTGGGGATTGCTGGGTCTATCAAATGAACAGGCTCTTGATAGGCCGAAGGGAGGTTCCTGGAATCATTTTTTCCTATCCTTTTTAGGATAATGGGCCAGATAAGGCTTCTTGTCACCATCTTTGGGATTTAGTTGTCAACTTCTGAACAATGAGATAATGCCATTGAATGGCCTGTTACATACAAATGATATAAAGTGTAGTGCTTCATAGTGTTCAATTTAGAACACACTTCTGTAAACCTTCATTTCCCCTCCACTAATGACACGTGCATTTTACCTCCACTCCCCCAAATAGCAAATATATAACACTGAAGAAAAACTGAATTACCATGGCTGTTACATCTGGATGTTTCCACCAGCCTGCCATTTTGATCGTAGCATGCCATTGCTTGGTAACGGTATCCTTGTCCACATTCCTTGATGTCTGCTTGTATTTTCATTCCCAGTAACACTTCCACTTTCCCCTCTGGTAAAATACAGTCTGACCAGTTCCCCACAGGCTGTGCATTGTATTTGTCACAAGGACAATACTGAGTCTCAATCAGGGGGTACAGATGGGAATTTTTACATTTTTCCTTCTTTTTACTTTTTCCTGTGGAAGAGAAACACCAGACAATTTAAGTTGTGAAGTACCATCATTAATTTCAAGCACCCTAAATTTTCTACTTTCCTAAGCTTCCTTTCTCCATTTTTAACCATGTTCAACAGAAGCCTATAAATAAATGGTATTTTCTTACCCCACAGTGTTTTCCATATGTTGGTAAAGGGTGATTTGCATGGTGAAATTTTTCCTATTTTCTTATTTAGAAATAGCCTATTTTGCATAAGGCACTCACTATTGTGTTGAATTTTATACTTTTCAAGATGATTAAAATCCTCTAAAATGATCAAGTGTTTTCATTGACTGGGGAATCTGAGGTAAATGCATAAACCTCTCCTTTATAACATATGCAAAAATATGAGATGAAGAGAGACAGTCACTGTATTGGACCGTATATCTCTTCTTCTAATTCCAAATAGATAGTATAATTATATAGGATCATAATTCAGAAGATGAAATTTTTGAATTTACTTTTCTTATTATGATTTTGCATCTTCCAGTATTTGTGAAGAGCAATCATTTTGATATACTTGGTTATTAATAAAAGAAATATCAATAATATTCAAAATGAAGATATTTAATATCACTATAAAAATATTTGAGAAAGTTTGAATATAAATCTAAATTAATTACCTTTTAAAATTAAAAAGAACCCTCTTTAGTATAACAGTTATAAATGTACTTAAAAATATACATTTATTTATCTTAATTGTATCACATACTATTTGCATTATATCATATTTATTATGAGATGTATCACATACAGTATATTAATATATATGTTTTAATTATATTACATATAATTAATTACATATATTTACCTCTAACTCTCATAAGCTGCCCTATAGAGGCTTCATTATGCAGCTGGTTCATTTTATTACTTAAATTCTGCATAGTCTACTAGAACCAATATTTTAAGGTTTCTTTTGCCACTGACAATTTTTTTGAATGCACCAGGATTTAGTTCAAAATGATGGCTCCTGCTTTTGCTCATTATGTCTCTGTTTTTTGTCACTGCCTGACTTTTAAAACGGATACAGAGTTAATGTCATATTCCTCCTTCTAGGAAATGAAGGATAATCTGAGGCTATGACAGTGAGAATGAATGGGTTAAGTAAAGAAGTGGCAATATTTCCTCTTGTCCCCCAAAAACTTTGCTCCAAGCATTTCACAGCCTGTAGGCAATCTGCTAAAAGTACATGTTTAAGTCAAAAAATAATCTGACACATATTGTATAGTGAGTCAGAATTCAATTCTCAAGGATGTTTTTTCTTTTTACCGAAAGTACGTAATGCTTTTATCACTGCCAACTTAACATTGAAATACACATCCAAATGCATTGACATATTAGGCATGGGTACTGCAACAACAAGGCGCAACCCTGAATTTTTCAAATACATTGTCAGAACTCGCTTGGCCTGACTTTTATTGGGTTTTCTACCTCGACAAGCATTGGCTTTCATGTACCAATTATTCTTACCAACAATGGTGCGCTTTCTGGTCCTAACTGCACCACAATCTCCATTGCATGAAGAAAACTTGGACCAGCTGGTGAATTGACAGTCATCTTGGCAGGGGATCTGGCAAGCTTGGGTGAGGGCTGGCACAGGGCCTGCATACTGGAGGCACTCCAGGACGCCAACCTGCCCTCCATCTTGCTTTCGACAGGTAATGGCTAAAAGAAAAGCATAAAACTGCTTATAACAGATTCAAAGGTCAAATTACTCTGCAGTTTAGAAATCAACCTAACCTTTGCTTAGGCAGTCAGAGGAATCCTCATTTAATTCCTTATTTACAGTAAAAATCTAGTAGGAGTACTTCTAATAATCACAGTAGACATTGATCTTGCGGTTTTTAAAATAACATAACCCTCAGTGGCTTTTGTGGTACAAAATAGTGCACATGCGCGCACACACACACACACACACACACTAGCATTTAGCAGTTTTTATTAGATGCTTTTAAGGATTTCAATTCATGTCACATGTGCAATATATTTAGAAACAAATGTTTTAGGAGACAAATAAATCATACATGGATGGCTTCTGATAATAGTTTACTTTGAAAACAGAACATTTATAGAAGTTCTGGGAGACACCAGGTACCTCTAATATTGTTTTATAATATTTATAATATTTTATAATATTGTTTATTTAATATTGGACACGCTAGAATTTCTATATAGAAGGGTCATCGTGGAAGCGAGTTGGTTAGTAGGTTGGGGCAGAGAAGTGGTGCTTATGGGACTTGTCTTGAAACTTCATTGGCATAGAAAGCACTTTTTTTTTTTTACTGCATTGGGTGTTTATTGGGATGGCTTTGGAGCGGTTCATGGAGGGCGCAGTGCCAAAGCCTTCCGCTCCCTCTGTCTACAAGTTCTTCACATGCACAAATATCAACTTTGAATTTAAAAATAAAATTGGAAACTTTTAACTGTCTTAATTGGCATTTCCACAATGACATATGGACTCAAAAAGAATCAAATAATTTAAAATCTGTAAGTATCATTTTTCCTCAAGATATTGTTTTACTGAATTATTTAAAACAAAGGATAATTTTATTACTAATGGAACACAGATATAAAATTGCTTTAAGGTAACATGTCTCAAAGAAAAAGAGCAAGTGATCTTTAAAGTCCCCTTTCTCCCCATGCCAGTCACCCCCAACTCCAATGGTTTTAAAATAATTTGATAATTGAGGAAGCAGATAAAATATTTAAACCTTGGTTCTAAAGTTAAATCTTCATCAAGTTGCCTTAAATGGCTTCATCCAGCCTGATTCACATGGCTTCCTCAGCTTTATGGTCTAGACTGAAAATGCTGCTCACCTCAGCCCAGCTTGGCATTCCACCATCATGAAATTAAGGTGAAGGAGCCTGATATTTTTGACCTTAAGTTACAATTAGGGCACAGAGGGCCCCAGGTTAGACAACACTAAATCACTGGATCTATGTACTAAAACCTAATGCCTAGTAGTGTAGGACTGTGAGTGGGATGTGCAAAAGGACATAACTAACAATTTTAGAAAGAGAAGAATTTCTCTGTGAAGTTGAACACAACAGCTTCATGAAGAGTTACATAAAAAGCCCTTCGTCATTGTGCAAATGAAGGTGGAACTCCACCTGTTTTTTAGCTATAGGTGTTCCTTCATTTAGTATGAACAATTTTGAAAGAGCCAATTTGTACAAAAGGAACAGGGGGCCCTAAATTTTAAAAATACGAAAATCTGGAAGGGTAGGCAGCGGTGGCCTTATTTATGAGGGTTATATGACAGGAGAAAACATCGAGTGCACCAAAGAGAATCTCACCCACTTGCGGGAGGAATTGTCTGGTGCTCTGTGTTTACCTTAACAGTCTAAGGTAATGGTTCTCACGTCTTGCTGCAAATTGTAATCACCTGGATAGCTTTTGGAAAATATCTATGTCCTTGCTAAACTCACATGATCTGATTTCATTGGTTGAGGAAACTGTCCTGGGCATTAGTATCTTTTTCAAGCTCTCTGATGATTCAATGTGCAAGCTGTATGAGAACTGCTGCTCTAATGGGTAATGTATTTTCACCTGCATCAGAAACAATGTAATGCTATTGAACTTGAAGATTGCTGAACCCATCCAGAGTTCCAGAACAAGATCTCTGTTATGGGGTCAAGAAATATGCCTTTTTTTTAAAAGCTGCTCAAGTATCCTTATGCATATTAAAGTTTGAGAGTCACTAGCTTGAGTATTCAAGGCACAAGGAGAGTTTGGCTGAGACTTGAGGCTAAGACTAAAAGTCCTTTGGTACCCAGTCACCCTGGCACCATGCAAAGCATTAAACAATGGCTGAGCATGTGGGCATGAACTAAGAGAGCTCTATATTTGCAGTTCAAGGAGAGGGGTAATGGGGACTTGTACAGAGAGTAGATAAGAAAGAACATCCACATAGTTTGGAAGAATGTCATCTGTAGCATGACTTAGGAGGAATCCCCATGATACTGGATATTAACGAACTGATGTGATTTTGCAATTCTCTCTACACTTGTCATTTAGAAGCAGGATTGACCCCTTAAACACTTCAAACTTAGTAAGCTCCAATGGTTCATGGGCAAAGTTGCCCAAGGATGCTCAAAAGGAAGAACTGATAAAGATGGACTTTTTACTCATTAGGATAAATGAAAACCTCAAGAATGATTAACTTGGAAAATAAGAGATTTGGTCATATTAGAATCCTAAGCTGTAAAGAGGATTGCACTGTTTATAACTAAAAGAAAATTAGAAATTATAAAACTAAATCTGGGTTGTTTGAAATGAAACTACTTTTACCTACTCATCCAATTTAGCTCTCTAAAATGGAGACTCAGATATATGTCTTTTGAGAAATTAAATGAAATTGCCTTAGATTCTCTATTAAGGGTTTCTCTCACAAATTTTATTTTAGAATTGCTCCAACTATCATCACATTAAGTAACACCGGAAAAGAAAAACAAAATAATATAATACCATTACTGACATAATTCCAGACACAAATTAACTTATTTTGTGAAGACCTATACTATTTACATAAATCAGAAGCCCTTTTCTCCATATACCTGCATAACATAAAATCATAAGTATTTCAGCTAGTTGAAAAGAAAAGAATGTGTAAAATTTGCATATCTGTTCTCAGAAACCCACTCAGTACTCCACTTTGCTTATCTGTGATTTTAGACAGTTTATGTTCAGAATGAATTACTCATACAATCTTATCCAAACAAGTAGCACCATTTGTAAAATATATTGAAAATTTATCGTACAACTCAACTTGTTTGTATTCTGATTTAGAGGAAACACAATTCAAACACAGAAATGCAATCTAAAATGAACTTCCTGCTATTAGGGTGAGAAAAATATAAATGTTTGGAAAGGAAACCATCTGGTCTCTCAACTTCATAAATTTTAAAACTCGTTTCTAAGACACTGAAAATAGAGTGGTTTTAACTATAGAAAAGATGGATCATACTAAGCATAGTTTCCTAGCACACCAGAAAGCTTCCTACACCCAGACAATTGTATCTGTATTTACAGGTGGTGCGTGTATATCTCATGTATAATGATTTTGCAAGTTCTCCTTTGAGCTGAGGCTTTGTTAGCAAGACGGGCAGAAAATCATATTACGTTGCCCTATGGGTAATTCACCATAAAAGCTTCTTAGCGAAATCAGCAAATATCAAAATAATTATTTTAAAGTAAAATTCCATACTTAACTCTGTGCCACTATATCCACTTATTTCATTTATAATTTATTTTATTTCTATAAGGCACAGCAATTTTTGCTTAAGTAACATGTGACTGGCTGCTCCCAGAAGGCTGAAAGCCTGGGTGAAATTGATGTGACTAACTTGTGGGTTACATATGAACCAAGCTAGGCAAGTTTAGCCCATCAATATTGAGGAAATGCTGTAAAGATAAATAAGAAAACCAGTTTCTTCAACAAATAAATGCTACAAAAAAGGAAGCTAGAACTGTTGTTAGATTAAAGTGACTTAGAAAGCACACACACCCAAATGCAATGTGGAGACCTTTTTGGATCCTAATTTGAACAAATTGATCGTGCCTAGACATTTTTGAGACAATGGGGGAAATTAAGCATGTTCTGAATATTAGACAATACAAAATGATTACTGTTAATTTGCTTGGTGTGATAATATTACCGTTGTTATGTTAAAAGAAAAAAACAAGTATTTATGGATGATATATGAGTATGTCTTATCTGGGTGTTACTTTGAAACACTCCAGCAAAATTCTTTTTAAATGTGTGGGGAGTGGCAGATGACCAAGAATGTCAATATGTTAAAAACTGCTTAAGCAGGGCCGGCCCGGTGGCGCACTGCTACAGTGCACCGCTTGGGAAGTGTGGTGGCACTCCCGCTGAGGGTTCAGATCCCACATACATACCGGTTCCCGCTCACTGGCTGAGTGAGGTGTGGGAGCAACACCAAGGGTTGCGATCCCGTTGCCGGTCCCGGTCCGGTACGGGGGCAACACTGAGGGTTGCGATCCGTTGCCGGACACGAAAAAAGACAAAAAAAAAAAAAAAACTGCTAAGCAGAGCAAGTGATGACTACATTACTAGAACTCATTAGTCTCTCTACTTTTGCATATCTTTAAAACTTTGAAAAGGGGATAGATAACATTGGTTAAGGTAAAATGACATGGGTATCCACATTATGCAGATATGAGTATGTAAGTGGAAGGCTACTGAAGCAGCTCTGAAGTAAATCTAGTAAAATTAACTGCTCATCTTCATTTCCTTGAAGAAGAATGAAACTCCCTTATTGTTCAGGATGCACAAAAAAGGGGAGTTCTCTTGTTCAGTGGATCACCCTTCAGCATGTAAGGCCATGTTGTCATTTTGTTTGAATATTCAAGTGAAATAAATTGCTAGATGTAAAAAGTGCACACAGAAGTTCATTACAGGACATGATAAAATCAATGTCTCAGAGCACTGAAAGCTGTTGGATTATATGTAACAAAGAGTTCAAGGAGCTTTGAGACCTTATTTATTAAATGGAACAATATTAACCTGGTTTGTCCCAATGCAGTGGTGTCTGGGTAGTACTGAGACAGAATATGTTCAGCTAAGTGATTAGATAAGTGATTTTTCCTATAGTTTTATGAAAAACAATGCCAATAGTGAGAATGAATCATGTGGAAACGA